TGTTTTTGAGGTCTTAGGTACAAAACCCTTTTTATTGCCAGGAGTTGATAGCCCTGATTTTTACTTGCAGACTTTTGTTACTTGCAGACATTTTTACTTGCAGACTTGGAACTTAACTTCCAAGTTGTTTTTGACTTTACATTTGACTTCCAAGTTGTTTTCCAACTGAATTTCCCTCAAATTTAATCTTGGTCATAGTGTTACTTGAAGCTAAGGTTGATGGGTGTTTGGTAACCTTTATTTATATTTAATAGATATCATTGGGTGGCTTATTTCTTTATCTAGAAATTAGTTTTTATATAATTTTTAAAATCTTATTTACATGATCATTCTGTGGAAGATATATTCACAGCTGTAACTTACATGGTAGAAATGTTAAAAATATTTTTTCTCTCTCAGAAACGGTGGAAGGAACTTTCTAAAGAGGATCAAGCACCACGTTTTGAGCAGTCTCCTCCCCATCTTGCCAGAACAACTACAGAAAAGTATAATGGGAATAGTGTGGGCTTAGAAGACCAGGAGCAAATGGGAGAGAAAATAAATACTGAACTGTCCACTAAAGTGCAAGATACTATGGATGGAAGCACTGAAAGGTAAGAAACATGGAAAATGTCGTAGGGGTATTTTTTTAAAGTCCTTGTATCCTAGAAAAATTCTAATCCCAGCTAATTTGCAAAAAAAGCAAACGTGATTCTGGGACACATTAACAAGAGTGTCGTGAGCAAGACACGAGAAGTTGTGCTGATTACACTTTAAGTTAGAGTATTGTGTCCAATTCTGGACACCACATTTCAAGAAAGATGTGGAGAAATTGGAGAAGGCCCAGAGAACATCAACAAAAATGATTAAAGGTCTAGAGAACATGACCTATGAAAGAAGACTGAAAGAATTGGGTTTGTTTAGTTTAGAAAAGAAGACTGAGGGGACACAGTATCAGTGTTCACGTATCTAAAAGGGTGTGTTTTCCTTGATCTCTGATAGGACAATCGATGAGCTTAAATTGTAACGAGAGATTTAGGTTGGACATTAGGAAAAATTTCCTAACAGGGTGTGAATGTTTGTCTTGAGAAACAGGGTGGTTAAACTCTGGAATAAATTACGTAGGGATGTTGTGGAATCTCCATTACTAGAGATTTTCAAGACCAGGTTGGATACACATATCAGGAATGATCTAGACGGTGCTTAGTCCTGCCACGAGGGCAGGGGACTGGACTTGATCTCTCGTGGTCCCATTCAGTTCTACTGTTCTATGATTCTACTTCATACAGGCTGTAAAATTTTTCACAGGCTTGAGTGATGTGGCTAGGTTGACCTAAGTTTTAGGTATAGCCTAAGTTTAATAATTTATGGTACAAATGCAGCTGTGGTTAGCTGTAGTATTGCTGGTATGTCATTGTAATGCTTGTAACAACATACAGGCTACAGAATAGCAATGTTGGTCAGGAGTCTGAAAATGTGCAATTCCCTAACTAATTAGTCTGTGCTGGCTGAAGTTTCTAGTGTTGATGCAGCTACCAGGAGAAACTGCTTTTTTTTAAATCAGGATTTCTTGTTTCATTTATGTGAAACAGTTTACAAAGGGCAATTTTGCTATAGCGTTGCCAATTTGGGCTACATGTTTTCCTTGAGGTTTCATCGTATGATAATTTTAATTAAAGACGAATTTTTAATTCTTGGAGACTCCCAGATAATCCTGGAATATTGATAACTCTGTTTTCCAAGTGAAGCTGCATCCACACCAGGAGGGCATTTGATGGTTATAAGTGTTTCTAGTATGGATGCAGATATACACTTATATACCAACTAAGCGGTAATCACAATCCATATGCACAAATCAGATGGCTGCTTAGCTTGCAAGAGGGAATTAGTAGTGATCTTACAAGTACTTGACATCAGTTTTTTATCATAGTAGTAAATGCAATGCTAACTTCTCAATATAAAAGTTTATGGTGTGAGTTTCAGGAGTAAACTTCCGATAATCTGGCACCTTTAGGACCCAGGGGGTGCCAGATTATCAAATATGCCGGACAATTAGAAGTGGGGGCTATGAGAGGATGTGGGGTGGGGAGGATGCCACCCCAGACCCCTCATAGCACCCCCTTCCGATAGTCCGGCTCTGCCCCAGGCATCGCTGCTGAATCGGGGATGCCTGCAGCAGAGCAGCTGGAGTGCTGCCTGGTTGGTCCGGTAGCCCTGACCCTTGGCGTGGCGAGACCAACCTGGCAGTACCCCGGTTGCTCTTGGGGACGCCTGGGGCAGAGCAGCTGGGATGCTGCCGGGGTGTTGCCGGCTTGGTTCCGCAGCCCCGAGGGGCAGCGCTATGGGACCTACCTGGCAGCACTCCAGCTGATCTGCCCCCAGCTTTCCTGATTCAGCTGCTGGTCAGTTTTAGCAGCGGCTGAATCGGGGACAGCTGGGATGCTGCCGGGGTGTTGCCGGCTTGGTTCCGCAGCCCCGAGGGGCAGCGCTATGGGACCTACCTGGCAGCACTCCAGCTGATCTGCCCCCAGCTTTCCTGATTCAGCTGCTGGTCAGTTTTAGCAGCGGCTGAATCGGGGACAGCTGGGATGCTGCCGGGGTGTTGCCGGCTTGGTTCCGCAGCCCCGAGGGGCAGCGCTATGGGACCTACCTGGCAGCACTCCAGCTGATCTGCCCCCAGCTTTCCTGATTCAGCTGCTGGTCAGTTTTAGCAGCGGCTGAATCGGGGACAGCTGGGATGCTGCCGGGGTGTTGCCGGCTTGGTTCCGCAGCCCCGAGGGGCAGCGCTATGGGACCTACCTGGCAGCACTCCAGCTGATCTGCCCCCAGCTTTCCTGATTCAGCTGCTGGTCAGTTTTAGCAGCGGCTGAATCGGGGACAGCTGGGATGCTGCCGGGGTGTTGCCGGCTTGGTTCCGCAGCCCCGAGGGGCAGCGCTATGGGACCTACCTGGCAGCACTCCAGCTGATCTGCCCCCAGCTTTCCTGATTCAGCTGCTGGTCAGTTTTAGCAGCGGCTGAATCGGGGAAGCTGGGGACAGAGCAGCTCCAATTGTCTGGCTGCCCGGAGCACTTCCAGGTTCCTGATGGTGCCAGACCATCAGGAGTGCCGGACCATCAGATGCTGGATCATCGGAGTTTTACTGTAATATGCTCTAATAGGCCCAGCTGTAGTCAGTGGGAGCAGTTGGGGCTCAATACTAGGGATGTGAATGAGTAACTTGGTACTAGTTAACTGGTACCTGGAAGCAGCCATTCACCCACAGCTTGTCCATGCATTGGGGCTGGGAGTCGGGGTGGCAGGGCCAGGAGCCTGCCAGTGGCTGCAGCCATGGAGCTGGGATCCCCCTTAGTCAATTAACCAGTTAGCCAACTAGGTTAATCTAATGTTTATCTTACTAACTGATGCATCAGGATTTTACATCTCTACTCATTACCTTTGCAAACTGGATTATACAAGGGCCATATTTTATCCTGAAACTGTGTACCAACATTGCATTGTTATCTGTATGAGGTTTGCTGTGTATTGAAGGTAAAAGCAGTGTGTGGAAGTGTTCCCTCTAAGACTTTCCATCCATGAGTGGAGTGAGTTTTTGTCTCGTGCACCAATATTGAGGTCATGCACTTGTTCGGATGCGTGCCACTGTGGCACCCCAGTTATTAACAAATTGTGTGTGTGTGTGTATTTTAAAATGTTATGGAAGAAAGAGGATACTAAAGCATGGGATAATTAATAAGGTGCATGACTTTAAATGTTTAATATGAAATGAAAATATAATACTGCAAAATTGCAACATTTTCATTAGCCTACTTTCCTCTGTTTATAGCCCTCTCCCAGAACTCCACTTCCCCCTCAATTAAATCTGGCTCTCCTTCCAGGGAACTAATGTTAATTGGCCTTTCAGACTAACATTTCTGGACTTGTGTAGGGTACGCTCTCCACTGAACACCTAGACAACAGCTTATTGAATTTCTCCCCATTCACAAACTACTACCATGACACCAAAACCACCTCACTGACATAGTGGTTAACATGCAAGAGTACCATGCTTTTCCCCAGCCAATCCATTCCACTTTTGGGGATTTGAGAGTGATAATGCCCCTCTCTCCAGGCTGAAGGCCAGATTTCATACAAGAATCATGCCAGACTATTTGATCCATATATCGTCAATGCAAGCTGCTGCATCTACAGTGTCACTACATCAGGTTGTGATCAGACAGGCCCTTGGGCTTAGAGGCTTCTGACCTGTCTTACAGCACATGAAGCTGAGGCGGCATGATCAGTGTCATAAAACAAATCTTAACAGTTCCCTCAAGTAGATTTGCATCCTCATGCAGGTATTCATTGTCCTTGGCTCTGTCTTGAACTACCCAGGTCTAGTCCCCATTCATGAAGATTACTCTTGCAGTTAGTCTCCTTGTCCAGTAAGTCCTAGCCTCACATATATGGATTCCCCAACCTCCCCTATTTTCAGTCACCTAGTGCAGGCAGACTCACTTCTCTATCCCCAGTTCTTGATTCAGTATGTCTCACTGGATCTCAACTACCTCCCCACCCTTGTTATCATTCCCTATTCTTGCTGGCTTCCAGTTAGTCTTTCTCTTTTGACTGTTTGTCCAGTCTGTCTCCCTGAGCCCCCCAGTCTCTTGGTCTCAATCCACTATCCCTGACTCTCTGCAGATCCCTCTCTTGTCCTGTTCCCTTTGCATTTGAATCAAGTTCTTCTTGCACCATGCTGCCTTGATTCAACTATGGGTCACTGAGCACATAGGAGCAACAGGCTCTCTGCTTTTAGTACAAGTCCCCAGACCTGGCATGGCCTGCAACAGACCAGAACTGCAATTGCAGGGAAAGTTCTGTTCAGCCATGGATACAATTAAGATTATCCTGTGTAAACAACAGGGGTTAGAATTAAGGTTGCAACTTGAGTGTTTCCTAAGTTCCTGATGTTTGATTTGGCAACCTTAGTGATGTTAAAACAGGATGGGTATTTAATGAAACTGTTCAGGTAATTAGAGTAACAGTGTAAAGACCATTCTTCTTAACATTCCCTCATTGTTTTAGTCACAAATGGCATAGATTGGTAAATTGGGTGGGGGTTGGGTTGCGGGGCAGATGGGGTTTTCCTAACATCTCTTGAAGATGACTTCTACTCCACAACATAGTTTTATCTCTCTCTTTTTAGTACTACTCGGAAACGGCTGCGAGAGGACCGAAAAGCTCACACAGCCCAAAAGGTGCACCAGATGAAACAGAAGCTAAGTGAGACTGAAAGAAAAAGAAAAAGGTGGTTATATTGGAAACCTATTCTCACTAAGATTGGGTTTGGTACAATCATTTTAGTTGGAGCTTATTCTTGCTGGAAACTGTATTTTCAAGAACATTCCTTGTAAGTAAACACTTATGTGCACTGTGAGCCTGTCTACGCAAGTTAGTCACTAGGGAGTTTGACTTTCAGCTGCAAATTCCTTATGCCTAAAACTGGTGCAGTAGTTTATACGCAAACTAGATAAATGATGTAAACTGATCAGTCATATCTCAGGACTTTCACAGCAGGTACTTCTGAAACCAAACAGCAAATTGCTACCCAGAATAAAGTTGTTCATGTCTGTTAAATAAACAGGTACAAACCTTGCAACTGTATTTATATACTTTTAAAAATAGTATTCTACCAAATCTATTAGATCAACCCTGAGCCACAAAGATTTAACTAACAAGGCTCTCTGGATTTTAATTTACCTGCCTGAAATAAGCAATAAACAATGTGGTATGATTTTCATTATTAATGCAAAGAAGTTATCCTTAAGCGCGTGTAATATGTACTATAATATTGGCATAGGCATCAACATTTTATATTCTTGTGACCCAGGATAAATATATTTTATAACTGCATATTTAATCTTTTTGTAGCTAGCTGTACTTTAAAAAGTTTAGTTTGTACAAATTTATTTGACCGAAATCAAATTGGTTTTGGAACTAAAGGTAAAACGTAATTTGTTTAGTGGTTAACAGTGAATTCATTCCCCATATTTGAAGATTTTGAGATGTTCAATATGAGTAGCTAGGGTTCTGATGAAGCACTTTTCAGTTTCTACTCTGTAAACTGCATTCCTTTTATTTATTTATTTTTTTCTTTGTTCTTGCATTTTCCTTATTTAAAAAAAGCTTGAAATTGCTTTTTTTAAAGCTGTTTGCTGGTCCTAAACTTAAAGGCAAATTGTTAACCTGATTAATGGAAGTTGTATTCAGACTTCAGTTACTGTCTGCAGATCTAGTTTTGTTAAAAAGTTCTGACATTCCATTAAATGTGAAATGTGATACTTTGTGTCTCATCTTATTGGATTTTTTAGTTTTATTCCATGTAATGATAAAAATCTACACCTACCAATAATGGAAGTATACAGCACACTGAAGGCAATTTAAAACTGATTTAACTTTCTGAAAACATGTTTTAAATATACCTGAAAATTTTAGCTACAAAATATAGATTAATATCAGTTACTTGATAGGATTTTATTAACTGTTCCTAAGTCTTAATGAAGGATGCCAGATCTATTTAACATACTTTTAAGTTGCCTAACACCATAGTAAACACAATAGTTAACCACTTCATCAGGAATAGTAGATGAAGGCAGCAGTACTTACTTACCTTAGCATCAGTTAAAGATGGAATATACACTTTTATATAAACAGTGAAAAGTTTATCTAATAGCTGTTTTTCTAGCGCCGTTTTTAACCTTTCCCTAAAGGAATCTATATAACGGAGTCTGTATGTAGCTGTTCAACTCATTCTCATCCAAGGAGGAAGGTCATATGGCTTGGTGGATAGCGCACTGGATAAGAACTCAGGAGATTTGAGTTCTATGCATGGTTCTACCACTGGACTGCTGAGTGACCTTCAACAAATCTCTGTGCCTCAGTTTCCAAATGCGTAAAATGGGGATAATTATACCATGACCAGCTTAGTAAAGCACTTTGAGAGGTATCCAGCACCTGCAAGCTCAGTAACAAGAGGTTAAACATGGGACCTAAATGATGAAGTTGGAATGTCATTGCGCAGCTACTAGATACTGAACAATATTTGAGGAGTGTCTCAAAGATGGGCAATAGTGTGAATAAGCGTAAAATGTGTAATTCCCGTACTATTAGAAGAATGAGACTTCAGGTAGAATCTTACAGAAACACAGGTCTGAATAATGTATGACTGCTATTAAAACAAGATGGTAACTTGTACTGGAGCCATGGGCAGAGCCAAAATTTAGTAATTGCTTTTGTACATACTTGGTTATTTGTTCTAAGTAGGTATTTTAAGGATAACACAACAGAGTTTCAGTAATGCTAAATTCAAGACCATAGGCAATACAGGGAAGGGAGTGCAGATTTTATATTTAGAAAAGCCTTGTACTGACAAATATCTATTTTTGTAACTCTAATCAGCTTCCAGCTTGAAGAGAATGCATTAATCTTTCCATCATATATCTTCTTCCTCAATGTGCCCATATTGGTAAAGCTTTTTAAATGTTATGTTTCTTACAAAAGGGTGAGTTTTGTTTATGGAAAAATGTATGTAGTGCCATGAAGTATTATTTTAAAAGTGAAATGAGATCTTCATATCCAGAAATGCTTAAAGGAAAACATTTAATAAAAATATTCTTAAGATAGGTAATACCCCATTCTCTGAAATCGAAAGTCTCCATTTATCTCCTGACTTAAAAGCAGGATGTTTCCAGGCCTTTCTGCTTTCCTCTGCTGACAAGCACTAGCTGTGTATCTGTACACCTTCATCTGAACTTTTTCCTAATTCCATCTAAACTCTGGCTATGTTGTTCACGCCATAGAAAAACTTTGCTCTCTTGAGAATGTGTATGTATGCTCACACTCTGTTTGTTCCATTTTACACCACACAGTACCATTTGTAAATGAATTTGGTAGTTCCTGGATCAGCTATGTTTGGTTGTCTTGGCTATATTATCAATGACCAGACTGTGAAGACATCTGTTACAATTTTAAAGGATTACACCAGTGATGGGCAAAAATATTCTAGATTCCCTTTGGTTTGCTGCAGTGTGAGACTGGGAAAGAAGTTTAAAGAATTAAGCCTTTTATCATATTTTACAAAGGAATTTTGGGTGAAATCTTAATTTCCATTAATATCAGTGGCACAGTATCCATTGAGTGGACTTGAGATTTTTTTCTGTCTTTCACGTTACAAAATCTAGGCCAGTGGTTCCCAAACTTTTTGGCATCACGTCCTCCTTTTTGATTTTTGAAAAACCCTCACGCCCTTCCCCCTCCTCCACCCCAACCCCAAATAGCAGCAAAACCTGAGCCAAAAAAACCCCAAATCCCATGATCTAGGCCATGAAGTACTTGGCTGCTAAATTACAAGAGCATGAGATAAGAGTCTTCACTTCTCAGAGATGAAATCCTAATTGGTGCACTAGTTCTGAAATGCTGTTGAGCTTCTGATTCAAATCTTCACTATGATCCTTTTTTCCCTGCACGTATTGTTTACCAGAATAATTATGTGCCTTTGGAGCATGGTAGGACACTTTTTAATTGGATCACTTTAAAGCTGACATTCAAATGAGTGCTTCATAACAAATCTCCTTCATCTTTTATAAAGTAAAGTAATTCCTAACCCTCGAATTATAAGCAAACATTCTAGTTTTACAAGGACTGGAATAAATCCTTATGGATTCTATTCAATTACATTTGTTTTCTGACAGGAAATCTTATTGTTTGCAATGGCGCCATTTACTGTGAGGGCCCCTCCACCTTTTTAAATATTTTGGCCCATTACTTTGAGAAGGAATTATCCAATAACAATAATTAGACTGTGTTTAAAGTAAAGATTTGGAGAAATTACAGATGCAGTTTAGGAAAACTTAATTTGCAAATTAAACCTACTTAATGAAATATTTGGAACATGTTCCATTTCATTAACTGATGTAATTTTTATAGTGAAAATGGACATTTAAAAAAAGGCAAGTGTGTGTAATGGGGGTGGAGATGAGAGAGCCAACACCACTTGATCTATAATAGAGGCTAACACAATTATTTAGTGCACCTCTAAATTTGTTAGGTAAGGTTAAATGTCAGATTTTTGGATGACTGCACAAGAAAACTCAGGGCAAAATTGTTATTGTGGTCCAGTAGTTTAAACTACAGGGTGGAATCAGGCAATGTTTATAACTGTGTGATAGTCTTCCTGCCCTTTCAAGCTGTTTTTTTTTAATTGTCTTCAGCTCGGTTGCACTCTTGTGTACTAAAATAAATGTATTCAAAATATTTCATCTGTCTGAGTCTTTATTTGCATTAAAAGGCCTGATTGTTTTTATATGTTTGCATTAAAAGGCCTTTTTCATATGCTGTCAATTAACTTTTACTCTGTTCTGGAAGAAATCCGTGAGAGTCTATGAATGTTGGAACTTTTCATTTGTTTTTTGGACAAACAGGCTTCGTTTTATTAAAACAAATTATAATTTTGGAATTTCCTCATCAGGACAAGAGAATTTAGACTTGGAATGTTACTTTGCTTTGAAATAATTTCTAAAACAGTACAATGCTGACACTGAGATTTCAAGTAGTTGTTACTGGGCTCTTGTCCAGTGAAATATTAATGGAATCCCACTGCAGTCAATAGGACTACTTGTGTGCATTACTTGCATGCTTAAAGTTAGGCACAGTTTTTAGTAACCTGCTGGGCTGGAGCTCTCCAGCATGCACTTGCTTTCCATATCTTTGAGAGAGACTGGACACTTCAAACAGGTTTTTTACACATAGTAATGGAGTAAATAGTCTGAGAAACAACTGTGAACAATTGGAACAAATTATTCATTTGTGAATTTGCTGTTAGTGACTTCCACACCCTTAGTCTGTACTGGTTTTCAAGTCTTTGCTGAATCGGTGACTTTGTTTTGCATTGTATGTCGCAGGCCGAGACTGACTGACAGCTAAACCTCCAAGACTTGTGAATATTCTGCATCTATAAATTGCAAACTGTTGACATGCAAGGCAAGATATGAACCCCTCTCCGGGAACAAAAGTGAGGTCTGATCAATACCAAGTAGGCCTCATAATTATCTGTTTACAACGTAAACTACATCCAGGGGATGAAGAACACCAGCATGCTCCTTTGCAAAACAAAATAACTTGCTGTCTGCTGTGGTTTTTATAATGCTTGTATTAATTGTAGAAAGATGTACAAGAAATAAACTAGAAAATACTTTGTATTGTACTGCCATTTTTATTGTATTTTTACACATTTTTGGCAGCATTAAATATTTTTTTAAATTGACGACATACTGTTGTGTGTGCATTATGTGAGGGGAAAACTATTAAACAGTATTTCAAGAACACTGGGATTTATTGCAAGGCTTTCTATTTTTCTTACTCATACTGATTGTGATCGTTCCTAATTGATGGGCTCTGCTTTTCGTTATGATGGGAATATTTATAAAACAAGAATAAGAACATAAGAATGGCTGTAGTAGTTGTCTTATTTAGAGAATGAGTGATTTTCTGTCACATGTGACCAGAGGTATTAACGATCATCAAAAGTGTGCACCACCTTTGAGGCTTCAGTCAAGGCAGAGAACACCATGGCTGTGTCTACATTGGCAAAATTTAGCACCTGTCTACACTGGCCGCGAGTATTTACACAAGAACACTGACGTTCTACTGTATGAAATCAGTGCTTCTTGCGCAAATACTCTGGTGCTTCCGCTCAGGGATAAGGCCTCTTGCGCAAGTGGCCAGTATAGTCAGGTAACATCAATTTCTTGCGTAAGAAAGCCCAATGGCTAAAATGGCCATCGGAGCTTTCTTGCGCAAGAGAGTATCCACACTGGCACGGATGCCTTTGCGCAAAAGCAAATCTTTTCTCTTGCGTTTAGAGTATTTGCGCTAAATCTTACCAGTCTAGACGTAGCCCATGAGTTTAACTATTCAGGATTATGAATACACTTGAGTGAACCAAGCTCAGTCTACCACCGCCCAGAAATGCTGAAAATTTGTCAAATGACTATTGAACATGTCTTTAACTGAAGGATTACCAGCTCAATTACTGTTCCTTGTACATTTACATGCCTCAGCACAACTGTGATATAAATATGAAAACTGGTTAAGAATCAGTTTCCTCTATGTAAGCCATATTTTACACCTCTGCCTTGTTTAAACTAGTAACAGAGATGAAGCTGTGTTAGTCTAGACTAGCTGAAACAAAAACAGGACTATGTAGCACTTTAAAGACTAACAAGATGGTTTATTAGGTGATGAGCTTTCGTGGACCAGACGTACTTCCTCAGATCAAATTGTGGATGAGTTTTTTGTTTAAACTGTAATCTTATAGCTTTAATATTCCTGGAGAATTTTTTTTTTTTAAGAATAAAAACTGATTTCAATGTTTACTTCTGTAGTAGTTTGTGTCCACAAAAGTATCCCACTCTATAGTACAATGTTTGTTGTTTTTGCGATTACTCATTCCTTAGCTCTGAAAATCATCTTAAACTTCTATACTTCAGATGTGCAAAGCTAATCAATTTAGTTTCTTCTTTAAATTTTAGAGGCATTTCTCGGGCTGCAGTCAGGCTAGCTTTAGTAAGGATTAACCACTTACGCAGTTTTAACTTTGGTATATCTTTGCAGCCTGTGGGAAAGGGTGGAGTCTATGTTGTCTCCTTTATAATCCAGTGGAAGCAAATTAAAAGGTAACACGGTTCAGGCTGTCTTCGGCATAGCGCCTCAAAAGATAGCACACGCACACTTTGAGCGGTAGGAATCACTGATAGTTTGCTCAGAGTGCCAGGAAGATAGGAGGAGGAGGAAGCTGAAGGGATGAAGATCTGGATTAAAGGTAAAGCATTTGAGGATAGCTTCACATACTGATTCTAGGAATGGCCAACTTTGCAAGTGGCCCTGTTACCTTCATGACCCTCCTGGGTATGTAGGATATTAATTAGGGTGGTTAAGGAATTTCTTGAAACAGTTTATTAGAAACAATTCACCAGGAGATACCAAAGAAACATGTGTGCATAATATACAATGTTTTGATCATATAGTGAGACCTGCATAAACTTTTTTTATCCACATAATAGCAAAGGAAATGTTTGCATAAATAAAGGATATTAAGGTACAATAAGTTAAATGTTAGACAACTGTTGTTGCTTGGCATTCACTATGTTAGTTGTATAACATCTATAACCTCCTTCTGAAGACTGATTTTTTCAGAATACCAGAGTAATCAGAAGAGTGCAGGTGGAAGGCCACTGCCAAAGAGTAATCTCCAAGAACGTGGTATTTTCCATTGCAAAAGAGTAGCTTTGGCATCGCTGCTCTGCTGATTTAAGAACAAAATACATTTTCAAACTCTGAAATTACATTAACCACATATGGCGAGTCTGCTTTTCCCATTTTACTGGGGGCACATTTAGTCACATAGGTATAAAGCAGCAATCCAGTATAGCTATGATAGTAGCTCTCCTAAGGCCATATACTATAAGTATCAAGCAGGAACATAACTCCACCCCAACACATCACTGTTCTTTTCATCCATGGCCATGAAAACCCCAATACAAGTGTGAAATCTGGTATTTTGTGAGCTCTTACCCCAGATTGCAGAGATTTCACAAGGGGAGTAATGTTTCCCAAAGTGGAGGCCCTGGCCCAAAACGCAGTTGCAGAGGGATACAAAATAATTTTTATGGGGGAGTACAGTATTGCCACCCTTATTTTTGCACTGCTTTCAGAGCTAGGTGGCGAGAAAGTGGCACCTTTTGGCCAAGTGCCCAATGCTGAAGGCAGCACTCTGCCAGAAATAAGGGTGACTATGCCATGCCATCCTTATTTCTGCACTGCTGGTGGCAGTGGATCGAGCTTAAAAGCTGGACTCCCCACCAGCAACCAATGCTCTCCAGCTCTTAAGACAGTGCTGCCACCAGCATTAGCACAGAAGTAAGGGTAGCAGTACCACAAAGCACTCCCCCTGCTACAAACATTAGGGATGTTAAATTGCAGGTAATTGACTAATCGAATAGTTGATGCATTTTGCATTGACTAATTGATAGGGCATCTCTGCCTTTCAAGTGTAGAAACAGTCCTAGGGCTGTTGCTACACTCTAAAGGCAAAAGCACCATGTGGAGCCCGGAGTCAGCTAAGGACTCCCTGCTGCCTCCAGGCTCCATGTAGCACTGCTGCTTTGAAATGCTTTGGAGAGTCCTCAGCTGTTCTGGGCTTCACTGAACGCTGCTACTTTGAAATGCTGCGGGAAGCCTGACTCTGGGCTCCTGCAGCGGCGTTTCAAAGCAGCAGCCCTGCATGGAGCCTGGGGTTAATGGGGGAGTCCCCAGCTGATCCCAGGTTCCTCACAGTGCTGCCACTTTGAAATGCCAGGAGGAGTCTGACGCCAAGTTCCCACAGCGGCAATTCAAAGCAGTAGTGCCGCGTGGAGCCCGGGGCCTGACCTCATAAGCAGTAATGCACTGCCACTTAGAAGTACTCGCTCCTTCCCTCCCTGCCCTTGCTGCCTCTTTCTGATAGAGGCAGCAAAGGGGGGGGGAGAGTGACTAATCAACAAGCTTGTCAACTATCCGATAACCACTTGCTTATTGACTAGTCGACCAGTCCTTCACATCCCTAACAAAAACACTATGACTTCTCCCCCACAACTCTTTTGGGTCAAAACCCTTAACATTACAGCACTTCAAAATTTAAGATTTAAATAGTTGAACCACATAGTTTAATAAGATTGTTAAAATCATACGTTTTAATGTGACATTGACCAAAATGGACCATGAATTGCCCTATATATTGGATTTGACTTTGTTTCCACTGATTGCAGGTGGAGCATGTCTCTAGATTTCCACTAACCTTGGAACAAAGAGACTCCACCACACAACCTCAACTGACAGGCTGTCAAATTCATGAAAGCTCATTTAAAATGTGAAGGAGTCTCTACTTTTTTCATTTCAGCAGCTCAGAATTAGAATTAAAAGCAAAAACTTTGGCTGAAAGAATACTTACTTCACTTCTAATTAGCTGGAGCCATTCGTTAAGATAGTTAACAAGAGAGAAGGCATCTGGGATGTTGTCCCCCTCTGAGCAGAATTTCAATAGAACTGCCATTTGGATTCCATTTGAACAACTGGAACAGAAATTGGTCAGATTGTCAAGTGCACAATAATTACTGGAGGGGAACTTATTTAATATCCGCTTATGTAAGATGAAGCAGCTCACTGGGTTTTTAAATTAAAAAAAAAAAAGTCCAGATATTTGGTTTGCTGCCTCATATTTAACACTCTGCTCTTGACTTGTTTTGAGGGATGGGGGCAGGATGGGGATAGATTCTATGCTGTGGGAATACTGCTTATGAACTGCTACACAGCAAGTTTCCTTTTTTTTGTTACTACTACTTGGGCTTTCATACCAATTCCTTTGATAGGCACCCTTAATCTCTCATGTACTACAAACACTAAAAAATGGAGTGGTTAGATGCACACTGCAAAACCAGGGCCCCCAGACTCTAAAAAAAAGGTAGGACTTAGATATAGGCACTTAAATCAGGAAATAGCTTCTAGAGTCATATGAACAGGGCTCGACAAATGCGCTCGCTCGCGGCAAGTAGATTTTTCCAGTTGGCGAGTGCAGGGGCAGACTGGCCCGGTGGGCTGTTGTGACGGGGTGGTCGAAGCCCACATTGTGGGCGGCGCAGCACCATCCGATCCACCAGCCGGCGGAGGAGCACAACACCGCTGGGAAGGGGGAAGTGTGGAGATTCTTTCCACCAGGCTGCCTGTGTGCAGCTCCGGCGCGAGGAGGCAGGGCGGGATGCCAGGACGTTGGCGTGATCTGGCCCTGCTGACTTTAAAGGGCTGCGGCAGCTCCGCTCTGGCCGCGTGTCCCTGGGAGCTGGCTGCAGTGTGCGGCACAGCCAGGGCCCGCCCCATCGGCTCCAGTCCTGCCACGGCCCCAGCCCCCCTTTGTCTCCACGCCGCCCCTGGACCCCCTGCTCTCACTCTTCCCTGCGACCCTTTGGCTCTGTGCCACCCTTACACCCCGCACCCTACTCCCCCCGATCCCTGCCCCCCCAGCTCTGTGCTGACCATTCCCTGCACTGCCCCAGACCCCGATCCCTCTGCCCCTCCCGTTCCCCGCGCCTCCACCACACCCTGCTACCCCCAATCCCTGCACCCCTCTGGCTCTGTGCTGTCCCTGCACCCTGCTTCCCGTGGGTTGGGAGTGAAGGGTGCTTTCCCATAGGGAGGGGCTAGACAGGGCACGGAAAAGGCTGCTGTGACCCAGCAGCAAGTGAAAGGGGGAGTTCACTTGAAGCGCCTTCGCCTTTATGGAAAAAAACAAATGAAAATGCTATTTGTTATTTATAGAGCTAAAACGCTGGGACAAAAAAGAAAAAAAAAACATTTCAAAATGCAAACCTGTAAAAGACAACAACAAAGCGGGGCGGGGGAAATGTTTTGCTTGGGGCAGCAAAAAACCTAGAGCTGGCCGTTGGGAAGAGGAGGGGAAAAAATATGGGGAAGGGACTTGTGCTGAAGGGAGGAGGTCAGGAGAAGAAGAAAGGGGAAGGCACCAAGGGACAGGGGTGCAGGAAAGACAAATGCCGGGGGCCAAGTGCAGACAATGAGGAAAAGGGCAGGCGGGGAGATGTCAGTGGGAGGGGGGACAGGGTGATGCTGGGAGAAGAGAGGGTGAGGGTAAGGGCACTGGGGGCTAGAGGGGGAGGCACCAGGAGGGTGCAGGTGCCAAGGGATTCTGGGGGGTGAAGCAGAAGGGCAGATACCTGCAGGGGAGGGACCAGCACCAGAGGAGAGAGGCATGGCAGGTGTGTAGAGGGAGATTTTAGGAGAGGGGATGAGGAGGGGTAGCTCACATGATCAGATTGGGGCTACTGGAGGAGTGGGCACAGGGCGGAAAGAAGGGCTGGCGGAGGGGGGCAGGTCTCAGGAAGGCTGAGGGCCATGAGAAGGGCAGGAGTCAGGACAGCAGAGAGTGAGGGGTTAGGGAGCAGCAGGCACCAGGGGAGCTGATGGAGCAAGGGGAGGAGACAAGGCAGCAGAGAGAAAAGGTAAAGGTTTATAAGATATTTATTAATAACTTATTAGTTATTACTCTTCTTATTCTTATTAGGAATTTATGCCATTAAAAAAACACATTTTGTGGGGGAGGGTGGCAAGTCCCTTTTTTGTCTGGCGAGTAGGGTTTTCCATAATTTGTTGACCCCTGCATATGAACATAGTTGGAGGATAATTTACTGAAGATAACAGGAAGGACATAAAAAGGAAATCTCAAGAGGAACAGAGTATGCCAAGGAAGAGGATTAGAATCTGGCTAATCAACAAGGAAAGGCCAGATGGGACTACAAATTTGCTGAGATCAAAAACACATTCTTTGGATGGACACAGTGCGATATAAAAGACCAGAGTAGAACTCCATCCGATATAGACCTGGGCAGACAAGTAGAACAATTCTAACACAGTTCAAAAGCTGCCTCTCAATATTTAGCCTAGGAATGTCACAATGAAGTTATGCCTCATGCCTGATGGAAGACAGGCGCCCAATACAAGTTCCAAGATTGGGAAAGTCATTACAAACTAAGAGCCCGACAAAAGTAGAGGCACTGAATCATCAGTCTAGGCTGTGCAAAGCATGTGGTAAAGAGTATTTAGTGTATAAAACATCAGACTGTCTTTCTGAGAGACAGCACACTGTAAATAGTCCTCCAGTCTGGGAGACAAGAAATTTAGATGATAGGTCCAGTTAGGGATGTAAGCCTAGGCTAGGGTTGCTCAGTGTCCAGTTTTGAACCAGACAGTCCAGTATTTGAGCTTTCTGTTTGGGAAACAAATTAAGAAAATATAAATGTCCGGTATTTTCTAAAGAAGATGGAATGAAGATTGTGATGTAATGTCAAGTGTGTCCAGTATTTTTGTTGAAACCATCTGGCAACCCTAGCCTAGGCTTATCAATTAATCTAGTTGACTACTTGCTTCTCACCCCCTCCCTGCTGCCTCTGTATCAGAGAATACAAGCCTTAACAGCTGGTTCCCCGCAGCACCATCTCCACACTGCCACCTCCCCGCCCCCGCTGCTGCCACTATTCGAGTAGTTGACTAGTCAACTAACCGATATACCGAGGCTTATCGGTTAATCTAGTTGACTGCTCGCATTCCCCTCCCCCCTTGCTTCCTCTGAATTAGGTGGCAGTGCCACCTACCCCCCACACCACATGAGACAGCAGCATGGGAGAGGGTAGGAGAGAGGGCAGGGAAGGCTGCTGTGAAGCACCTCTGCGCACGGTGGCCCCACGTTCACTGTGGGCAAAGGCTGCTCAACATCCTGCTGAGCAGCCCCTGTCCACAGTGAGCCTGGGCCTATCATGGGTAGAGGCTGTTCCAGCAGCAGCTACTCTCTGCTGGGACCCCCTGTGGACAGGGCTGTTGCCACAAAGCAGCCTCTCTCTGCAGTGGCCTGGGTTGGCCGCGGACAAAGGCTGCTCCGGCTAGGCTGGCTAGTTCTGCTCAGTTCCAGCTTGGGCCGGGTCCAGGACCTACCCTTGCTACAGGACTCCTAGTACATTTAAACTGCAGACAAGTGGTCAGACAACCTGGCTCTTACTAAATTTAAAATGCAGAGCTCCAATGGGGGTACGTCCCAGACCCAGCACGAGCTGGGACTGAACCGAGTTGCCTTCCCTTATTAATTAATTGAGCAGTCAATAAAAATTCTATCAACTACTCGATTAGCCAATTAATCACATTTTAGCATCCTTAGACTCAGATCACTTACCCTCTTCTATACCTGTTTCACTTCTCATCTCACCCTTGGCCACATCAAGTTATAGTATACATTTTTCAAGGCAGGGACTATCTTTTAGTTTATGTTTATACAGTACTTAATACAACAGGATCCAAATCACAGTAGGGATTTCTATGTGCTTCCTTGATCCAAATAATAAATGCATCAATGAACAGATGAGGATTACTAACCCTAAAGTTCAGATGGGGTGAAAGGGAACATATACTAAGAAAGTAGTAAATTCTTCTACCTGGCACAAAAATAATTTCATAGAATCATAGAATAATAGGACTGGAAGGGACCTCGAAAGGTCATCGTGTCCAGCCCCCCGCCCTCAAGGCAGGATCAAGCTCCGTCTACACCATCCCTGACAGATGTCTATCTAACCTGTTCTTAAATATCTCCAGAGAGGGAGATTCCACCACCTCCCTTGGCAATTTATTCCAATATTTGACCACCCTGACAGGAATTTTTTCCTAATGTCCAATCTAAACCTCCCCTGCTGCACTTTAAGCCCATTACTCCTTGTCCTGTCCTCAGAAACCAAGAGGAACAAATTTTCTCCTTCCTCCTTGTGACACCCTTTTAGATATTTGAAAACCGCTATCATGTCCCCCCTTAATCTTCTTTTTTCCAAACTAAACAAGCCCAGTTCACGAAGCCTGGATTCATAGGTCATGTTCTCTAAACCTTTAATCATTCTTGTCGCTCTTCTCTGTACCCTTTCCAATTTCTCCACATCTTTCTTGAAATGTGGCGCCCAGAACTGGACACAGTACTCCAGCTGAGGCCTAACTAGTGCAGAATAGAGCGGCAGAATGACTTCACGAGTTTTGCTTACAACACACCTGTTGATACAATCTAGAATCATATTTGCTTTTTTGCAACAGCATCACACTGTTGACTCATATTCAACTTGTGGTCCACTATGACCCCTAGATCCCTTTCCGCCATGCTCCTTCCTAGACAGTCGCTTCCCATCTTGTATGTATGGAACTGATTGTTCCTTCCTAAGTGGAGCACTTTGCATTTCTCTTTATTAAACCTCATCCTGTTTACCTCTGACCATTTCTCTAACTTGCTAAGGTCATTTTGAATTATGTCCCTATCCTCCAAAGAAGTCGCAACCCCACCCAGTTTGGTATCATCTGCAAACTTACATTTCACACACATGCTTGCAAAAAATGTGTAACCCACTCAACATGGTAAGCTTTATGTCCAAATTCTTCAATCTCAAATTTGTTTTTAGCATAACCTTTTACCCAAATGCATTCTTTTCTTTACTGTTTGCTGGTCCTATCAAAGAATTATAGGGTCGGAAGAGACCTAGGGAGGACATCAAGTCGAATCCCCTGCCCAAAGCAGGACCAACCCCAACTAAATCATCCCAGCCAGGGCTTTGTTAAGCCAGGACTTAAAAACCTCTAGAGGTGAAGATTCTACTACCTCCATAGGTAATCCATTCCAGAGCTTCACCACCATCCTAATAATATAGTTTTTTCCTAATATCCAATCTACACCTCATCCACTGCAACTTGAGACCATTGTTCCTCATTTTGTCATCTGTCACCACTGAGAACAGCCTCTCTCCATTCTTTCTGATAGTTAGTGGCTGCTATCAAATCTCCCCTCAATCTTTTCTTCCATAGATTAAATAAGCCCAAATCCCTCAGCCTCTCCTAGTAAGTCAGGAGTCGGCAACTTTTTCAAATCAAAAAGCCAAACTATATCAAAATTTGAAAAGTGGTCAACAAAGAGCCAGTATAAGAATACCCATTTGCATGACTGAAAATATACACTTAATATTTTTGATAATTAACAATGATTCATGATAGCATAAATGAACCATTTTACTCACAGACTTTATTTAATTAAACTTCTGCTGTTGCATCTTTTTGCAAGTTCTTTAAAGTTTACATCATAACTGGATGAATCCAGCTTCATGCCTGCATTCAGGCTGTCTTCTGTCAATCTTATGGAGGGTGGCTGGTGATGTGGAGATGCAGAAGTCTGGGTTGGGATGTATGAGGGGCTCAGGGCAGGAGATTGGGGTGTATGATGGACTCAGGGTACAATGTTGTGGTGTGTGGCGGTGCAGGAGTGTTATGGCAGGGACTGGGGATGTGCGGGTTTGAGGGGCTCAGGATAGGGGGTTCAGGTGTATGATGGACTCCGGGTACAGGAGTTTTATGATGCTGTGACCAGATGGAGGTTGGGCCCCCAATTTAGAGCTTGCTGGCTAGGCTTCATTTTTAAATAAATTAAAACATTATGTACAACACAAAAGGTTTCAACATTTTCTTTTTCTATGGCAGGGATGGGGAACCTTTTCTGGGTCAATGGCAACTGACCAATAGCAAAAAAACATCTAAAATCCCCCAACCCTTACTGATGTGGCCCCCTACTGAAACACCTCACTCCCCTGGTGCTCCAGCCCCATGGTGGGAGGGGGGGGGGAGGGCTGGGACCAAAAATGAGGCATTAAGTGTGTGGGACAGGGCTGCCAGTGAATGGGATAGGGATAGGAGTACAGGAACTGGAAGGCAGGTAGGATGTAGGAGGGGGGGAGGGTGCAAGGTGTGGCCAAAGGGCAGGCTGCTTAGCTCAGGGGCAAGAGCAGGCTGGGTGCCTGGCCAGGGGGGATGTCTGGCCAGGAGGCAGAAAGGATTTTGGCCAGGGATCAGGCCGTCTGGGTGGAGCGGTGTCTAGGCATGAGGTAGTCAGGGGTACACTTGTTTCCACATGGTGTGGCAGGCACTGTGTCACACGCCTCCCGCTGCTCCCATTCACTGGAATGAAGCCTCTGTGAAAGGCTGGCGGGGAGGCCTGCAGGAAATGTGTCCCGAGAGACAAAAATAGTAGTACGCAGGGAGCCATGTTTGGTTCCTGATTTCCCCCATGCCGGGAGAAGGAAAATGCTGTCGCGCCGAGTCATTTTTAGCTCTGCTTGTTCTCTGCACACCACAATCTGGTGCAGAGCCTCGGGGCTTTCTCCCCCCTTCCCCTGCAGGAAGTCAGCACGGCGTTCCAGTCTTGTGGGGGGCTGTAAGGCTGTAGTGCAAGGGCTGGCTCCCTGCTGCAGCGGGAACAGAGGGGGGCTGAGTTGGGGCTCCAGAAGAGCTATATCTGGCTCCATAGTGAGCGATATTTAGCTTGCAAGCTATAGGTTGCCGACCCGTCATAGGTCATGAGCTCCAGTTCCCTAATCATTTTTATTGCCCTCCGCTGGACCTTCTCCAATGCGTCCATATCCTTTCTGTAATGGGGGGAGCCCAGAATTGGACATAATACTTCAGATGTGGCCTCACCGGTGCTGAATAAAGGGGAATAAACACTTCTCTAGAAGTTTTTATATATCATGTAAATCCTCTTTCAATCTCCTGTTATACTCCTGCAAATTATTCTAAAGAATACCATTACTAATAATTTACACAGCATCCACGAAAAGACAACGAATAATCATTTTTCTTGGTATCGGACTAAAAAAGCAAAAGTAGATTGCAGCTTGATACTAAAAACTGGACTTCTGACACTTTGCGAAGGTTTCCTCTAACATCAGCCGACTCACCCACCTCTCACTGAATAATAATTTTGTGATGCCACCTCCAGGAATATGTAGTACCATCTCTGCATCATTTGCTCCTGGATAAGCAGCGATTTTTTCCATCTCCTTCCAATTTAGCCTCTGCATTAGATCTCCAGCTGTTTTCTGAATAGCAGGTGTGAGTAAGTATCGTAGTGGTGTACTAAATAAAATGCAAGAATACCGTAAATAGTTACATGGATTACTTGTGTGAAAGGGTAATGGTAAACTTTTAGAACCTCAACCTTGTAATGAAAGCGTAGGAATTGCTTTCTTCTGCAAATCAAACACCCAGGATAATCTGAGATTGCAAAACATAAATGATCATCAATCTGCCATCCACAATGGTACATTTTGGAAGCAAATATTTATTCCTGAAGCAAGTAGGGACATTTTCTTTCATTGGTTGTGTCTACACTGCACTGTTATTTTGGAATAACTAGTGTTATTCTGAAATAACAATGCAACTGTCTACACTGCAATTCCATTATTTTGAAATAATATCAAAATAATGGGCAGCTTATTTTGACTTCTGTAAACCTCATTCCATGAGGAATAACTCCTCTTCCAAAATAACTATTTAAAAATAGCTGCAGTGTGGATGCTCCACTGCTGCTATTTCGAAATAGCTCCTCACTAGGACCATTTTAAGTAATTTCTCCCCAGTGCTTCCTAGGGCTCTAAATCAAGATAGCGCGTTCACATTAGGAGCAACTCTGCCCCAGGCTTCCTGGAGTCAGCCGCTGATCAGTTTCAACAGTGGCTGACTTGGGGACGCCTGGGGCAGAGTAGCTGGGGTGCTGCCGGC